GAGGAATTTAAAAAATCTGACTGTATGACATCAAAAAGATGGGAACGCATATGGGAAGAACAGTGACCAACTAAAAATTGCTTTAAACCCAGCAGCAATTAGGAGGCATACAATGAATGTCAGTACTGCTAATCAAAGCCGTAGTGGTCTTAACGTGATGCTACAGACAGTATATTACTATTAAAATCTGGCTCTGAAAAACACACAAACAAGTGCACCAGGCTTGGCACAGGGGTCATCAGCACATCAGCAGAAATGGAGGTTTTGGGACATTTCATACAGTGTGAAGGACACTGCATTATTGTCAACTTCTATGGACAGCTTCCCAAAAAACACATTGTCTTTGGCTTGAAATAGCAAGATTAAACTGTGAAAAAAAAAATAAAATGCACAAATAGAAGCCTGATGAATATTGGTGGCACATTCTTTGGTCACATGAGGTTAATACACGTCTGCTTGTATCAGATAGGGTTTGTCAGTAAATGAAAAGTCTTGACAGTGAAGCACAGAAGTGGAAATGTGATGATTCGTGGCTGAAAAAACACAAAACATGTTTGAAAGATGCTATTTATAGATGCCATTATGAATGTCAGTGGACATACCAAAACTACTGGCTGACAAGACGACTCCCAGTCTGCAGACACTTGGCAGAGAAAGAATTTTCCAGCATGACAATGATTCAAAAACACTGCCAAAATCACACAGGACTTCCTAAAGAAGAAAAATTGAAAACAATGACCTGGCCAAGTATGTCTCCTGCCTTGAATCCAACAGAACACCCTTAAGGTATTTTAATAAGAAAGGTAGAGCTGCAAAAAAAGAAAAAAAAAAACCTTCCAGGAAAGAGCAGCTGAAATGAAATGTAACAGAAATCTGGTATAATTCATGCTGTGGATTGAATCTGTCATTTAAAATGAAGGGGAACATAGGAAGTGTAATGACTTTTGTTGCATTTAATTCCCACTGCGGTGCCTGTATTTTTATTATATTAAACCTAAGTTGGAATTTTACACAGAGCAGATACTCAGCTGTTCAACTTCAAAGTGATGCATGTATTAATGAGGGATACAATCGTTTGACATTAAAATGAAATTGCACCGGGGTGTTCTCGCTTCTCTTGTATACCGTAGGATGATTTTCTCTTGGAAAATACAAGCTGTAAAAAAAAGGCACCGTCTCTGAAGTGTTTTCATCCCTACATGGTGCAAGAAAAGAGTCGGCTGAATGTCACACAGACACAATCTGTCATTTCACTGTAATAACTTGACATGTTTGATGCTACATTGCATATCGATCCATCTTCTCTCTACATCCTAAATAACCCACACAGAAACATGCATTTAAAGTTGTTTCATCCAGACAATGTACATGCTGTGTGTAGGCGAGTACGAGGAGATTGACTTGCACAACAGCTTCGTGCCACAACATATTGTTTAGACTCCCATTATGGTGATTTATGGAAGAAAACCCAGCCTCCCAAAGCATTGAAGTCATCAAAAACCTCAGGATATCTTGATTAAGACATACTTGAGACACTCAGAAACAATTGGAAATAACAAGTTAATTAAACAAGCAGCAGGGTGACTTCGAGCCAATCAATGAGGAGCTAAATGAGCTAAATTTGTAAGGCTGTAATTTTAATAGCACGATGCTCCTGCTCATGAATGTGTCACGCAGCCTGTCACATGTGTGCGTCGTGAATGGCACAAAAAAAACAACAAAAGCTCATGAAAGCCGTACGAACACCTCTGTGAGTGGATGAGCCGGTTGTGAGATTAATTTCTCTCTCCGTTATTAGAGCAAGCGGCCCAGGTGCCTGAGACTCTTTGCTCTCCTCTGTTATTAGTTTAATGACAAGGAGATTAGGGCCCACATGCATTCTGAAGAAATCTGCTTTCTAGGAGTGAAGGGAACTAATCGCAGGATATCGATTCCTGCATGAATGTCTCTTTGTGCTGAACGCGAAGGTTTTAGAGCATTACCAGACTCTGAGTGCTCCAGCATTCAGCACCGATAAAAGCATCAATCTGTGCCATCTGAACAGCCTCCTAACAGCACATCAGCCGCTACTTTTCAGGTCTACCTATGTCTGTGCAGAGAGGCTCTATTTCTGTCTTTAAAGGTCCCACATTCTGCCCCTTTTCAGCAAATTAATCAAAGTCTCACAAGCCGCCACAGCGTGTCTTTCAGTTCAAAATACTGCAGCGACGGCAGAAATACGCGTCTTCATGTCTCAGCAGCTTTTATTTTACACTTCAAGGTTTGGAACAACCACAAAACACAACAGGAATGGATTTTCACCATATGGGACCTTTAAAAGCATTCAGCTTTATTGATTCAGAGGCTTAAGCTGCATCCGTGCAACAGCTACTCTATGTTCTCATAAGTTGCTGACGGGTTTCATAAACTCGTTCAGAATAAAACAGACTTGTAGTTCCAGAACAATAAAACAATAAGATGCTGGAAACATGTCTATAGCTGTAATTTAATTGGAAATATTATCCATCCATCCATTATCTATACACCGCTTAATCCTCACCAGGGTCGCGGGGGGGCTGGAGTCTATCCCAGCTGACTCAGGGCAAAGGCAGGTTCACCTGGACAGGTAACCAGTCTATCACAGGGCCACACCCAGAGACAGACAACCAAGCACACCCACATTCACACCCACGGACAACCCAGAATCACCAATTAACCTCAACATGTTTTTGGACCTTGTGGGAGGAAGCCGGAGAACCCGGAGAGAACCCACGCTGCACGGAGAACACGCAGAAAGATTCCGGTGCCCCCACCGGGACATGAACCGGCAACCTTCTTGCTGCGAGGCAACAGTGCGACCAACTGCGCCACCCTGCAGCCCTCGGAAATATCATGAATAATAAAATGTTGCTGGGGACTGAAAAAGAAACAGCTAATTAATGAACTATGGCCACATCTCAGAAGAGAACGTTATCTCGCAAAAATCAGATAAAGTTTTGCAGAGTTGACCAAGAAGTGTGAAACATTTATTCACTACTTCTGTGCATGTTGTCTATACAGAAAACAGGCAAACTTGCAAAAAAGCACAATTAATTTATAGATATTTGCTGTTATTTAAAGGAAAGACTATGCATGTTAAAGATTTTTGAAAAGGAAAACTATTTTAAAAAAAACAAAAACATACTGTTTTGTTAAATCACAGATCTTAAGTAAAACCACAAAAAAGTATTAATTTAAATACTGACTGTAAAATGTGTTTTTAAATAATTCTTTTACAGATATCTGCTCATGGTTTGTACAGTTTTTGAATGCTATAGTGTTTCTGCCACCAGATTTTCCCTTTTTTAAAAATGTATTTATTTTTTATAGTGTACACCAGCAAAGCCTTCATACTTCAGATAACTGTTGGTCTAATATGTACAAAAAAAAAAAAACCAGGCCTTTTAAGTCCTTGCAGAACAGTAAAACGTAGAGCAGAACATATACCATTTATCTTAAAACCCAGAACTAATTCAGGTATACTTTACTGTATTGTATTTTAAGTACTGAAAAAAGTTAAGGTCAACCATCACTTGTTTTCAAGACTCGTGCGGCCTCTGTGCCTCCATGAACCATCGCTGGTGAACTGGGTCCTCTGAAGTATTCCTGACATTTCTTCTTCGTCACAGAACAAATAGCAGTCACAAAAACAAACAAGGGAAGAGACCCACTCTGATCAATTAACTGCTTATGAAAGATAATTTAGCATTTCAAAGCTTTTTGAGAAGCTTTTTGCCACGAGGACTCAGCCCTTGCACTTCATCTTCAGTCCCTTTGGTCAGATGAAAGGAAGATGAGACGAGCAAGGACCCGGCACGTCCCCCCACCACACGTATAAAACAAAAGCGCACTGCTTTGATGTGTGCACTTGTACCATCATTTGCATCCTTAAGTGTTCCCGATTTACATTCATGACTCCATGTGTACGAAATGCGTTGTTTGCATTTATAATAGACATAAAGCAACGAGGGTGCAACATAGGAGCCCTCACACTATAATGGCAGTGCATTTTATACAGAGGCCAAAAGGGACAGTGTGGAAGTGATAGCACACATTGCTCTACTGCAAAAGTGAAGGGCACTTATCATAACCAGGACTGCAATGAAACATGCTAGTCATCTATTATTTCTATTTCACACTCACCTCCGGATTGACTGCAGTTGTACACACCCCTGTAAGAGTTTAAAGCATTAAAGTTTTGAGCTATATTCTTAAATTTCACATGCTTTCCTTTTAAAGTTAAGCATTACTGTAGCTGTTATTTGTGAGCTAATGTCTTTGGACTCACTAAAAATTCACACATTCAAGCATTTTGTAGGCACGTCAGTAGTAACTGTACAGTCTCTCTTATGTTATTGATTTAACCCCTCAAAAAAAACTAAACTCTGTGTAGCAAATGTACATATTTAGAATTTCTTTGACATTAAAATAACCCGTCCATCCTAAAATAAGGTCAAAGTAACTGTTTCCTACTAAGCCTCCCCGTTTGTTTGTTAAAGCTCGAGCACACCAGCTCACCTACGACTCAAACACTACTGTTAACAATGGCAAGTTGTACTATTGGAGAAATTCAACTATGAATGTTTGAACCAATTCAGGAAAAAAAAAAGACTGATAGAGAAAGCACCGTCCCGCAAGCTGATTAGTTTATGTATAAAACTCCAGAAATCCAAATGTGTGTTTCTGAGACTGACATCAGTGCAGTTTGAAGGTAAAAAAAAAAATATCATTAAAAAAAACCATATGGACATGTTAACAGAAAAGTTTTTTCCTATATAAAAGTCAGAAAACACGACAAAATCTATTTCCAGAGCTAAAATCGAGCATTCAAATTGCTTGCCGTCTGGCCAGCAGTGTAAATGAAAGATTGCTATCATATTACGTGAAAGAATTATAGCAAAGCATCTGAAGAGGTGGAACCGGTGAATTGGTGGTGCAGTTATTAACATTACTACTGCTCCTTATAATAAGAAAAGTCTTTATGAACTTAAAAAAAAAAAAAAAAAGTTTATTTCAGACAGACAAAATGCAGGGTACAGTATGATGTGTAAATGTCCAAATAGTCACAAGTCTGTGGGTAAAATGAACAGCGGTGGCACATGTTACACTTACTGTCTGAACAAAGTCAATCTAATTATTGCTTTAAAGAAAACATTAAAAACACTATTGTTTGGGAAAGTTATTAAACAGCTCGCACACTCACTTCCTTTATGTACATGCACAGTCAACATTCACGGACATCACGTATACCATCTTACAGTCACACAAATGACTTTTAATGACAACAATTCAAAGGAACATCAAAAACTAGATTTAAAAAAATAGTCTCTCATTTGTCATGATCTACCAAAAACTTCCATGAACAATTCCATCATGCTAAGAGTTCCCATAAAAGAGGCTGAACCTTAAATCTCCCCTCCACCCTGAAGCTCTCGCGCTCCCTCGCCCCCAGCACAGGAAGCCATATATAGATTATCCCCCATCCCCAAAAGCAAGCACCCTGAACAAGGCCCCACCTTGAAACAGATTCAAATACTCCTCATCGCTCTCCGTCAGTAAAGGACATCAGCTCTCCTGCTTGTCTTTGACTAAAAGGGCTGTGTGCTGCCCTCCACTGGATGCCATCAGCACTGCACGGTTCTCCAGCTGTTTTCCCGTCATCTTCACGGGGCTCCACTCGTCGTCCTCCTCTCCTGTGCCAAGCTGCATGTTGGTGCCCATTCCCCAGGCGTACACCGATCCTGTAGCGTGCAGGAACAAGTACAGGCAGCAGTGAGAAGAAGGAGCATCCTTTTTTTTTTTTTTAACCCTTTAAACTGTGTGACAACATCGGTCAACTTAAAGCCGTTTGGTGAACAGTGTGTCACTGCTCTCATAAAATCCAGGTTCACGGTCTGTGTCAGATCGCACAACAGCTGTTTGAGGCATGTCACACGCTGCGATGAATAACTGCACTCCAACGTAAAAAAAAAAAAAAAAAATCATGTGAGAGCGGAGACGGGCTGCAAGGTGGAGCAGTTGGTAGCACTGTTGCCTCGCAGCAAGAAGGTCGCCGGTTTGCGTCCCGGTGGGGGCACCGGAATCTTTCTGCGTGGAGTCTCCATGTTCTCCCCGTGCAGCGTGGGTTCTCTCCGGGTTCTCCGGCTTCCTCCCACACAGTCCAAAAACATGTTGAGGTTAATTGGTGATTCTAAATTGTCCGTAGGTGTGAGTGTGAGTGTGCTTGGTTGTCTGTCTCTAAGTGTAGCCCTGTGATAGACTGGTGACCTGTCCAGGGTGTCCCCTGCCTTCGCCCTAAGTCGGCTGGGATAGGCTCCAGCCCCCCCGCGACCCTAATGAGGATTAAGCGGTGTATTGAAAATGGATAGATGGAGAGCGGAGACATCAGCAGCTGTCATCTGCTCTTACATTTTGAAAGCAGCAAAACTATAAATCTAAGACCCCACTTTTTCTCTGTAGGTTTTTTTAATGGTCAGGGCCCAAAATAAGTCAGAAATGTATTTAATGAGTACAAACCGGTTAATCCTGCAAGATATGCAAAGACTAGTGGTGTCCAGGGTTTTTAAACAAACATATGCTGTCCACTGCCTCAATCGTTCCCCTTTGGAACTTTAATATGCAACAACTGTTTTAAAATTTGGATTAAGACTGTCCCTTTGTCCATTGTTTTAAATTAAAAGGTCTCATATTGTTCCTTTCTGCAGCAAATTAATCCAAGTCTCACATGTCCCCACAGTGTGCCTTCTGATTGTTAAGCTTAAAACATTGCAAAGATGGTTCAATGGTTCATTTCACCACGACTCTATAACCCTGGTCTTAGGGCTGAAAACAAAAGAGCTGCTGTCCACGTCTCCTACTCTCTGCTTCTGTGACTGGCAGTAAGCAGCAGAACAACTGACTGCACAGCTGCTGACACCGAGAGACTGGGACTATCTGCCGCTTCTAACTTTCTCTCTGCATGACCATTTGACATGGAAATATTTCCAAATTCACAGCACAGCTGTTGTTTTTAACTTATGCATAGTGTGTTTGTCAGACAGCACTGGTTATAAAATGAGTCGCTTAGCGGTACAAAGCAGCAGCTTGAGAAATGGTGCTGAAGTGACTCCTTGTTAACATGTAGTGTTAATGGGCTGCACGCCACCATTTTATACTCGTTCCATTATCTGTCAACAGAAAATTATGCCAATGAGAACAGCTTCACTGGGAATCTGGTCATATTAAAATGTACGTTATGAGAGCAGGAGAGATGCAACAGATGCAAACACCGGTTGTTCAGGTTCCACTGGAGCACAACAAGCAACAAGAACACCCATTAACCCGCCCAGTGTTTGTTTATTGGTTTTAAACCGGTATTAAAGTTTCCACCTTCCTCATCCCTCAGTTACACAACCTCCACAGAGCTCTGCCCTGTGGGCACACCGCCAAAGCTAATGGCAGCATTAGTCGTATGCTAAAACTTAACATTTTTCTATTCTTGTGGTGGCATTACTGTCAAAAAACAGAAGCAATCCACTCTGTCTTCAGTTCCTCATATGCTTGTGTTCACACTTGCAGCCAACGGTAGAGCATTCAATGTGCTTTGCTCGTGGCTGAGACATCTCAGAGTTAGCAGAAGCAGCTCTAGACAGTAAACAAACCTGTTGGCTGGGAGGCAGCTGTTTATCCTGGCTCACCTAGCAAGCAGTGTGCAGGACTATCCAAAGTTTTACCCTGATAACTATTGGTTAGTAGAGGTGTGAGGCAACACCTTGCTCTAAGTGATACTGGCTTTCAAAGCTGGGATGCCAACTAGATGTAACAGGGACTTGAGGAATGGCAGAAGCAATTGCCTTCATATCATAACTGCTTTTCACAACCACAAAACACAATAAAAATGGATTTTCACCATATGGGACCTTCAATGTGCCACTTTTATGTATTCAATCTTCATTCAAATAATACATGTTGAGTGAACCTGTACTTTCATACTTTAAATTGCATGTTTAAGCATTTCAAGGCACTATTCAAGGTCCTTTGGATTGTCCTAGTGTATATAGAATGTGCTATACAAGTCTGACTTTCCTATAAACAAGCTTTGACCACAGTGTCGACACAGCGATCCACAAGGGAGGAGAGTGCTGTCCCGGTCATGGACACGGACAACAGTATTTATTTCCCTTAAACTTTTAACAAAAACAGCACTTAGGGGACTAGTCAGTGTATTCGGAGTTATTTCATGCTGTATTCTGATAAGTACTCTGTCGTCGTGGGTCTGTAGTAGCAGTCGTACAGTGAGAAATTCAATCCGCTTCAAATTAGCTACTGGTAAACATGTCTCAGTGCAATTCTAGGACCATCGCTTTGATTTGGTGGCCAAAGATTTGACCACATTTCACTCACGAATGTTCACTTTCCTCTCAAAAAATTGCATAAAGGGGCCTAAAGCTTGGAAAGCACAACAATAAACATTACCTTAAAGTATAGAACAACTTTAAAGCAAAGTCGCTGCTTTAACACATCACTAAGTAGTTTAGGGTAGATGCCTGTGCATGTAAAGCGTGTGACGTTGACACAGGACACCGTGTTTTTGTCCAATATATACATTTGAAAAACAACAGCAATACATTTCCTCAACTAAACCACATAAATGATGGATTGGAAAACCTACAAGATATATGGAAAGCACTGTCAGACAACCAGTTTTGTTGTCAAGGTGTGAGGATTTGTTGTGCTTCACCGCTTTAGAGCAAACTATACAAGACTGTTAAGATCCAAATTAAAACCTGATTGCTTAATCCTCTGCTGCATTCGCTTTGTTTCTCACCTTCTCTAGTGACTGCGTAGCTGACAGACGCTCCACATGACACTCCTCTCGCCAGCTCCATCCCCATCACAGGTGTAGGCTCACTCTTCTCTTCGGCCCCTTGACCCAGACCAAGACGGCCATACTCTGCTCTGCCCAGGCTGTATACCTGCCCTAGAAAACGAGGAAAAACGAAGCAAAGACCCCGTTAGCTCCGACACTTGACTGCTAAAACATGACTTGTGACATCAGTTGTGTATTATTTGTCAAACTAAATCAGTAAGCTTGTCAAACTCAGAGATTCAAAAAAAGATGAACTTTTACAGCCACAAATTGTGAATCTAAAACATTTTGCTTACCTTCAGCGTCAAGACAGAGTGTGTGATGTTGTCCTCCAGAGAAATCCACCCAGGAGGTGGTAGAGTTCTTGAAGCATGTCAGTTTTACTGGGACAAAACACATCTTGATGCTTTTAGTGCCTAGAAGAAGAAGAAGAAGAAGAAAAAAGTGAAAGTTGCACACAACTACCTCATGATGTCTGATGCAATAAGCTCAGAGCAGACTGTGAGAAACTGACACAGAGTTGAACGCAAAGCAGTATCACATATCAGTGCAGGTAAAGTCATAAAGAAAATAAGATTACATGCATCATATCACGATAATTAAACACTGATAAGTCACACTGACCCAGCTGGTGATAGTTCGAGAGGCCAAATCCATAAACGTGTCCATCTTTCGATACAGCAAAGGTACAGTACGATCCACAGAAGGCATCAATGAAGTGAACTTTCCCTTTGACTTTGACAATCTGTGGCACCAGCAGCCGCTCTGAAATCACAGCACAGTAACATACATTACAGGCAATACATTTAAAAAACAAAACACTGTTTATATAATAAGAGATTATTGTACATTTAAAATCTTCAGTCCATCAAAAGGGACAGAGTACATACCAAGGCCTTTCCTGCCTCCTCTGTCTGAAAAATGCTCCGGCACTCTTCCCAGCTGCCCCTGCTCTGCTGTGCCTGATGTGTAGAGATTTCCCTCCACTGTCACCAGCACCAGGTGATCGTTGCCTATTAAAGAAATCATAAAAATTAAACATAAACACTCTTGGAAGTTCATATAATGTGAACAAATAAAAACATATCGCACAGAGACAAACCGTTTCTTACCAGAAGCAATTTTCACAACAGGTTCTGTCATGGGAACTTTAACTGGAACAGTAGATGATTTCATGGGCTCCAGAAGGCCAATAACACCATTGTTGTCCTGGAAAAAGGGAATCAGCATATTAGAAGTGAGCTGACGTTAAAAATAAATAAATAAAAAAGACTGCAGTACAATATAGGGAATAGCCGATACAAACAGACAGACAAGAAAGAAACAAGCAAACAAAAAAACACAGATGAAGATATGATGGAATTCAGCGACAGAGGCGATAAAAATTGGAGACACCTCATTTGTCAAATTTCATCTGATGCACATATGAAACATTCTAAATGAATACAACAGTACGCAGGAAATAGGACTCTTTGTTTGGGAATATTTGGGGTTCAGATCCTCTCAAACAGGTGATCCACTCAGACAAGAATGTTGCGGTGAAAGTAGGTAACAAAAGGCTTTTACAAAGTCCTGAATTAAGGGTCGTAAAACATTCAGTAAGTGAGGAATGTCAGTTTTTGATTTTTAAATCATTTGTATACATTATGGACTCTAGACTTGCAGGAAAAACTGAGATTTTATTGATTTTAAATTAAAAATCACACTGAATCCAATGCATTAGGTGTGTGTGTGTGTGTGTGTGTACGAGGAGAGTCATTTCAGTTTAAGTATACGTCTAAATGTTTGCAGGGCTGTAGACATTACACTGAGTACAGACAGAGAAGTCCTGGAAAGTATTAATATGCTCAGACTCAAGCTCTGGGCCAATGTGCGTTAAGTGTTTAAATAGTCCGCAGGACATCATCTGTCAAGAGTCAAGAACAGTATTTAACGTAATATCTATGGAGGATCTAGATTTATAAAGGGGCCTGCGACTTCCAGAACTGTTGAGAGAGAACAAATATTTAAAGTAGAATGAAAGAGATGAATATGGAGGAAGGTAAGAGAAAAAAATACCACACAAATCTTTAGTAGTAGGGAAAATCTCTCTCTCACACACACACACACACACACACACTTCCAAACACAGAACCAGGGGGTGGAAAAAGAGCAGGTAACTAACCCTGAAGGAGCCCCAGATGTACACAGCTCCATCCTCTGTGAGTGCAGCTGTGTGGCTGTCTCCTGCAGAAACCTGGATCACTTTCTCATCCAGCGCCACCTTTCCTGGAACCATCTCAGACCCCTCCGCTGACGTGTCCCGGCCAAGAGCCCCTTCGTCATTACAGCCAAAAGTGTAGACCTAAAACAAACAAAACGACAGGACCTCTTAGTTACAATGTTGGCATGACGTGAGTCATGCAATATTCATTTTGTAAAAGAAATAAATACAACAAACGGTCACCTACATGGCCAGTGTCGCTGAGGCAAACAGTGTGCATTCCTCCAGCTGTCACTTGCACAGCTTTCTCTGGCAGTGACAGCAGGGCTGGCTTCTTCCTCTCAATGACATCCCCTCCTAAACCCAACTGTCCAACATCACCTTGACCCAAAACAAGAACCTGGCCCGCCTCTTTCAGATGACTCCTGTGGGAAACTGGTACAAACACACGCACAATTTATACCCAGTTTATTTATTTAATCTTACGTATTAATAATCTTGAAAGGCCAAGCTTGACTCTGGCATGAAAACAGTACAGGACTTGAATTACCAAGTCAAACAGTGGCTGCATACTACAAAATTTGTAAAAACAAATGCTTTTCTTCATTAGGTTAGAAATACATCCATAGTGTATGTTTACACTGAGTCTCATTGTGCCTCTCAAGCTGGTCAAGAAATCAACTACATATGAATCCAGTCTGCATGCCTCCATCAACTCGTTTTGGACAAAACTAGTGATTTACCTTTTATTTTCTTGGCGTCTTTATTGTCCTCCACAATCGTCTCCGATTTCCTCTTGGTGGCGGTCTTTTTAGCAGGCATGACGGCAGCACTAATGAAAACAAAGAGGAGACACTGGTGAATAACCCCACTTCAAAATAGATAAGTTGAACACTAGCTGTGAGTTGATTAAAGGATCACAACTAGGACCCAGAGTTTTTAAAGTCAAACAAAACATATATAAAAAACTCAAACAGGATAGTTGCTAAATATCACACAAAAGTTAACCCCTATCTATGGATCATACCAACTAAAACTATGCATCAGAAGCTTCATCTTCTATATCTTTTCTTTCAATGAACAAGGAAATCCATGGGATAAACACCCGAGTGGTGACATGTGACGAGCAGTGGTCTATTAACAAAGACGGCTAAACATTGCAAAGTTGAAAAGTAAAACACGAATGAAGAACGGCATTTCAATTAAGTTTTCTGTTGAAGTTTGTGGTATTGTAAAATTTGACACTAAGATTTTAATTTGTATGTCAAATGTGTACTGGTTGTCACTCTCCTTGTTTAACAATAATCCCTATCCGCCCTGAAAACAAAAAAAAAAAACAGAGGTTTGTCACGACTAATAACCATTTTTAATAGCTGACATTTCAACATGTTACAGGAGAATAGAGCTGTTTGTATCTAAACAAATTTTAGAAGAAAAAAAAAGAAGAAGAAGAAACAACCATGAAGCAGGTCATGTATGAACAAAAAACGAAAAAACACCTTTTGTATACGCTTATCGAAACTGCATATATCCAAAACACAGGAGCTACAGTTCTTGGCTTAAAGGCAAACGTTCCACGATACAACCATTAAAAAACAAAGCACTGAAATGCAACAGAGACGCCCGGGCCTACAAATCATATTCTCCAGACATAAGGGAACATGCTTGCTTGGTGAAGAGCACATCTGCAGTTTCATATGAAAATTCCCATCCACACTAAAACCATGACTTGTATCACAATATTTGTCAGGACATTTACTTAATTATTAACTTATCATATAGTTAATTCAAGGCCCAACTTCACCCAACTCCTGAATCCATGCACAGGCCTGAGATGCCAGATCTGAAAAGTCTAACGAGAGGAGAGCACTACTGCCACAATACATGTCATGTCTGGTATATCGGTTCTAGGTGTGTCCTCATTTTTTTAAAGCCCTGTTTGTACTTTCGTAGTTTCTTGCCCTACTTGTTGTTTCACGCCTTATCTGTATCCAGTTGCTGTAACATATGATCAGCAAAGTTTATCTTATTTTACTGTCTATCAACAACTGACAAGGATCGTCAGGCACAAGCAGCCTTTATTTTCGTCTTAACCTTAACCAGAAGCTGCTGTGGTTCAACAGCTGTCGGAGGATCACTTGAATGGCTGGCACAGTGTCAGGTTCTCTCAGCTCACAGACAGTTGTGCTGCCATGCTGGAATGAAACCAACGTCCGCAAAATAAGGGCACAAGTGCTGCAGTTTAAACTGGAGTCAAGCTTGGCTCTCAATTACACATTTACAGTGTACGATACACTCTATGATTTGCTAAGGACATGTTTGAGGAGTGCGGTCAGAGTAATCATTTAGCAAAGACTGACAGTTTAAAATAAGCTGCGTGATCTAACGCTGGCAGCACCCATGTGCCCTTGCTAACATTTAGAGTTAGCTAGGTGTACGTGGCTGAGCTCCAGTTTCATTCTTGATAGTTGAAAAAAGTGACACCACTCGCTGCTAATACAGTGAGAAAGCAAGATGCAAGACACACGTTTCTACAAGTGAACTAATGCTAGCTGACTGCTATCAAAGTGAAGCTATTCTGTATGACACTGGCTAACTGTTTGCCAGCCAGCGGAAGCTAACTAGCTAGCTAGCCGTGTTAGCGTGACATTTGGGAATGAATGAACCCCAGTAACATAATTTATTACTTTTCCAGCGTGACCAACCGTGGCTTTATGTCTTTTATTGGTTGTTTTTACCAAATGGATAGTTTAGGAGGCGATAATTTACTAACCTGTGATATACAGAAGTTTGTAGTTTGGCCAGAAGTGAATGTGCAGCGCCTGTTCCCGGTCTTGCACCGCACGCGAGATCTCCCGTTCTTTGGAGGCTGCAGAAGCCCCGCCTCCTTAAAGAGACAGTCACTCTGAGCGCTGCAGGTCAGCAGCGATGGAGGCTGGTCACTGTAAAAATAACACTGGGAAATCTTTCTTTTTTTTCTTTTCTTTCTTTCTTTCTTTTTTTAATATAATTGAGTCTCATTAAAATCTGTGCATTTGTTCTAAAATCATAAACAATTAAAGGATTTTTTTTTTTAATTATCATTTTACTCAGGTATTACCTTTCAATGAGCCTGCACCTCACCTGTTGATGCTGGTTTCCTTATTATTTAATATAAAGTTTAATGTTGCTCAACAATCTGTTTATATGCTTGGCCTTTAAATTAAAAACAAAAACAAACAAAAAAAAACTTTTTTCTTCTGTTGCAACAATACAACACCCTCACCTTACAGCATCACCTCATCACTGATAAGATCTTATTCTAGATATATTTATGGTCATATCACTGCCTTTAGTTTTATTTTAGTCAATATAAGAACGAGCAATACATACTCTATCTTGGGTTTTTTTGTTTGTTTGTTTGTTTGTTTGTTTTTTAAAGAACAGTTGTCAGAGCCAAATTTATTATTTTATATTTGATAATAATTTAGTTGAAGGTGGGAATGGTAATATTGGAAACTGATAGTTTCATTATGGTTTGGAAGAATGTGTTTAGTAAATGCATAACTTGTTGCTGATAGGTTTGAGAGCAGTTTGAGTTGTGCTTCCAATTAAATAATGTTGCGTCGCTCTGACGCAGTGGATGAGGGTTATTGTTCAGATTGAAGCCAGAGACGTGGGAAGCAACATAGTTTTTTGACCGTGTATGTGTAATTTTTGATCTTTTTTTCTTTTTTATTAAACTATTTACAAAGAAGAACTCGTCTCACTTGCGTTTCAAATATTAGTTGCGAGACTGGCTTACGAGTGTGGTACAAAGAAGAACGGAACAGAGTGCCGCTACAACAGTGTAGGCTGTTGGCCCTAATATAACAGCCTTAAAAAAACAAAGCTGGCAGCTGACATCTATATAATGATTGGATTGCATAGATATAAATATATCTACATACTATCATATTTATGCAACGACAAGTCCAATAATTTAAACAAATATAAATGTGCAGAGATGCATCCACAGCTGTATGCAGGTTGTAACTACAATTATATTTGATGTAAATTCAATATATTTTCCCTTGCAGACTTGCACAGACAAGCAACTGGAATTGCTGGAATAGTCAACTTGTGCAGTCTAATTTGTCATTTGCAATAAATTCGTAGGGGGCAATTCAAACAAGAAGAAGGGATGTGAATTTGGACAAAAAAATGTGTCTGACACTTACAATACCAAATTTACTCTGAGGTTCTTCTAAACATATGCTGCTGTAAATAAATCAATCTCAAGGTTTAGCTTCTAAAAAAAGATAAATAATGAAACTGCCACCAGGTGTTGCTGCAAACCTGTATTTTCACTTAAATGGTTTCAGTTTAAATTTTTCCTACAATCTCTACCTGAGTCATTACGTAAGTCTTTTGAATAAAGAGTCGGGTGTAGAGTCATTTCACAGAAGGTTCAAGGAATTATAAGATTTTTAATTAGATCCAGATGTGACTATTTACAATTAAAAAGAAAAACCGTCAGCTCATACAATTCCACATTCAATTAAAAATGAACTTAGTTTGACAGAAAACGTTCATATTCCCATTCTTGTAGCATTTAATCATAAACTAATATTCTGTGCTTAAAAAAATAGCAACCTATAATACTTTTATATTTAAAATTTCTTTTCAAATGAAAGGAAGACAAGATATACAGAAGCATCAGTTAAACCTATATCGACCTGTACACAGCATAGAGAACCCTGTAAGCTACTGGCCAGACAACAATACAAGATAAAACACTTCTGCAGTTTCAAAAGGTTTCCAGCCAAATTGACTCCCTGTTGACCGTTTATACATTTTCAGATTTTTTGATAAATCCCTGATCTACACTCAACAGCAACTTACATTTAACTCTTAGTATCGACGCTATCGGCATGACCTTATTCAAAATGGCTACAGAATGCATTGCATGTTCGATCATTAAAGGGAAGTACAAAAACTCATAAAAAAGTATAAATGAAGAGAGATTATCCAGCTCCGACGGCGCTGGATCGTGTGTTGGCTCATGCAGTGGATTGCACAAATTGGTGATATGAAAAACCAGAATCCTAAAGTCCTTTAGGTATGTTGGCACATAAAAAAACAAACAAACAAAACAAAAAAAAACACCAACAGCCTCCTGACTGGCACCTTTTTCTCTAATAACTAGTTTGACGCTTAAAAGGCCACCGTACATCACAACCACAAATACAGGCAAGCCAAAAGTAAAAATTAAAAAAAAGAAGGCTTAAATAAAAGCTGTCACTACTCATGTGATCAAAATTACAATATAAAACGTCTTGTGCATTACAGAATATTTTGTAATTAGATCTTTCCCAGTTTCATTCTATGGTATCACAATAGCAGTCTGTACACAATTAATATAAAACACACAATATCCCAGAGAGTCCTAAAACAGAATATCGCAGTCTTCACCCTCCAGCTCGCTCCTGATGCAGCTCTATTATCTATTATTACTGTGTGAAGTATTATAGGTCATCATCATCATTATTATTACCGTTATTATTGTATGCCATTACAAGATGAGTTAGCTTTTCTATATACAGTTAAGAGGAGGGGAAAAAAGGCAACACAGAATGAGGCCGCGTTAAAGGTTGTAACTAGATCCGAGTCCCTGAGGGGTACCGCACCACGGCAGAGCGAGAGCCAGTCCTGTCGGTCCTCTGCCGTCTGCTCTCCACTTCATTGGCACGTGGATCCCCCTGTCGCATGGGAGAAATACTGCATCTGGTCCTCATCCACCACCACCACCACCACCACCAACCACCAACCACCACCTCAGTTAAGTGAAAGCAATGCAGTGAGAGGGCGATGGAGTTCAAGCGAGAAGCGAGTCAATTCCAGGCTTTCCCTGATTATCTGTACAGTACATTCTGGTAAGGAGGGGCGATCTGTCTGCCGAGGGAGCAGCTTCTTGCCACGGAGATCTTAAGTGCTTCGTTATCCGCGAGTCGGGACGCTAAGGCCGGTGGAACCTAAAACAAAACAGAGAGATCTCATGAGGCAATCCTTAAGCTTTTAATTGAATCACCGTTTTTAATGCTATTTGCAGAACCCTTTTTTTTTTCTTCTCCGCAGCAATATTCACTCACTGTATTTATAGTTTTGTAATTAAATCTCCATATAGTGGTTTCATTGTTAGAGGTGGAATCCGCAGTTCCAGCACAGGATGTAAATTGGCTTCACATGCGCAAGGAATTCATCGGACACAATAACCGCATGTAATCAAGTGTTACAGCTTTTAACTTAATCTGGCCTCAGTGTTTACTGTACTCGCTCCTCGCCGGATCAAAGCCGCTGCTAATGTAAAACGCCGCAGCTGCTAATCCACATTAAGACTGTTTAGGTGAAACAAGAGAGTCGCTTTTCTGGTGAAGCGCTCGCAGAAAATGCTTTGTGTTTATTACAAAGGCAGCCCTCTGAGAGCAAAATGAAACAGATGCATTAGTGAAACACTGACTGACAAGCAGCAAGTTCCTCTGCAAGATAATGAACTCCCTTTTGCAGTAGGCCCGACAGTTGTGTGAGAAATTACTCAGACTTTGCGCACCGTGAAATCAGATAATAGAAAAAGAAGCACTTGGGTTGCTTTATATCCCACTATGATCTCCATGACAGAGGAATATACATCAATCAGCCACAACTCCTCTAATGCTGTGTAGATATGGACTCCACAAGACCTGCCAAGGTGTCCTGTGGCACCGAGACCTTAGCAGCAGATCCTACAAGTCACACAGGCTGTCTACATGGATCAGACTTGCTTTTCTAGCCCATCCCTCAGATGCTTGATCAGATTAAGTTCTGGGGAATTTGGAGACCAATTCAAATCAACTCTGAACAATGTTTGCAGAGTGGCAGGAAGCGTTATCCTGCTGAAAGAGGCTATAAAGGATAGTGTTGCACGATCTGCAGGAATGTTTGGTAGCATTGACATGAACGCCAGGAACCAGGAAAAATAAACATGACTGATCAGATGAGACCATCTTCTTCCATTCTCCAGGGTCTGATGCTTGCCCATTGTGGGTGTTTTCGATGGTGGACGGGGACTAGCGTGGATACGACGACACACACAACAAGCTGCGATGCTCAGTATGTTCTGACACCTTTCTGTCATCCATTATCTATACACCGCTTAATCCTCACTAGGGTCATGGGGGGCTGGAGTCTATCCCAGCCGACTTAGGGCGAAGACAGGGGACACCCTGGACAGGTCGCCAGTCTATCACAGGGCTACACTTAGAGACAGACAACCAAGCACACTCACATTCACACCTACGGACAATTTAGAATCACCAATTAACCTCAACATGTTTTTGGACTGTGTGGGAGGAAGCTGGAGAACCCGGAGAGAACCCACGCTGCACGGGGAGAACATGCAAACTCCACGCAGAAAGATCCCCCACCGGGACGCGAACCGGCGACCTTCTTGCTGCGAGGCAACAGTGCTACCTGCAGCCCCACCTTTCTGTCATGATCCACATTAAGGTTTCTCAAGAATCTGTGCTACAGCAGCTCTTCTGTGGGATGTCCAGGGCTTACAGTTGTCCACTTTTCCTGCTTCCTGTACGTAATAATATAATATAACAGCATAATACCTCGACCTGCTAACAGGTGCTGCTCTAATGAGATAATCAGTGATATTTGCTTCACCTAATGTGGCTGATGGGTGTACATGCTCACGGCAATGGCAGTTTTCATAAAAGCATCAGTTTCTTCTCATTCATATGCAAATGTATGCTGCGAGCGCCACCAAAACCTTAATCAGATATCGTCCATATGTGGTGTAAGGATCAAGTTGCTACAATTCATTGTGCAGTAAATTATTA